GTCAACAGCCCTGCCTGCTGGTACCCTTCCAAACAAGTCTCTCTGCCCCAGCCCACCAGCGAATTTGTGGTTGACATTGCACAGGTTGTTCATGTAACAACAGTGTAGCAAAATCATCATGTTTTCATTTGTCTCAAGTCTCTTTTGAAGAGTAATTTTTTAAAAAGCAAAAGAAGTCATTAAGTGATTCCTAGTTTTGAATGCCTAGATTGTTTTTGGGTTTTTGCTATAATAAATACCACTAGAGTGAATGTGTGGGTGTGGGACAGGGTGTGTGTGTGGGGTGTGTGTGGGGTGTGTGTGTGTGTGTATGTGTGTGTGTGTGTGCATACATTTATACGTATGTGTGCACCATTTGTATATGTGACCATTTCATTTCTTAGGAAGAAGCCCTATGTGTGAAATTAATAAACTGAAGAATGTACATTTTTAGGTCTTTTAATAGGTGCTACACATTGCCTCCTGGAAGGGTGGTGAAGTCTGTTCTCTGACTAGAAGGATAGGAGAGTACGAGTGTCTTAATATTGGATGTGTTAGCTTAAGGAGACATTAACCGCTTGATAGGGAGGTTTATTCTGTAGTTCATTTGTACTTATTTTGATTTCTAGGAAAATTTGATATTCTGTATGTTTACTGGTTATTCATATGTCACACAGATAATTGACTACTAATATCCTGTGATTATTTGTTCTATTTCATGACTCTTTCCCTTTTTTGATCCTTGGCCATCATTGTTATGAAGTATAAGTAATTGCTGTAAGTGGTAACGTGGCCAGCACACATTTTGGTGCCTCACATGCTAGGCCTCTTCTGGGTATATTTGACCTGCTGACTCCAAAAACTGGTACCAGCTTTCCCCTATCAGCTCTAGCTTGGGAGATAAAGAACCTATGTCACCTACTGCTCTTTACTCTGCTCTCCCATAACAAATCAGGACGTTTTCATGTAGGGTTGGCTACCCTGAGAAGCCCTGGTAGTATAGTGGTTGCGGCTTGGGCTGCTAACTGCCTGGTCAGCGGTTCAAAACTACCCTCCCCATAGTGTTTCCAAACCTTGAAGTCTTTTAAAGGCTGCAGAGTGATGGGTGGGTTCGAACCACTGACCTTATTATTCGCAGCTCAATGTGTAACCAACTAGCCATTATGGGTCCATAGAGAGCTTCCCTCTGAAGTCCCTACCACCTACTTCTTTTTCAAGTATTTCTTACCTTCTTGGTCTTATCCTGTAATTTGTAGGTCTGACGTCTCATATTTAAAACTAGAGTGATAATTAATAAATCAGTATAACTGAATAGCTGAAACTATAGTGGGACACCTTGTCTTAAGACACTAGAGCTGATGCAAGACTATCCAATGCATATTTTTGAATTATTGCCACATCACCCCCAGGAACAGACCTCAAAACCAAAACAGCAAGAAAAAACGTTTTTTGATGATGGCCTGTGTAATTGCTTATAGATATTTCCCATTTATTTTATTGGCTTCTTGAATTTTTACCTGCAAAATTAGCTCCTTATGTTACTTTTTGAAATTATAATATGCTTTTTAAAAGAAGAAATTGAGTGGACATTTATTCTTCTTCAGTTTCTTCTCAAGGTGAAGATAACTCTTTATAAATGTCCCAGAGAACTATAGTAGCGTTCTGTTCACCCTTTGCAAGTAAAAAGGGTGGATCGTTCCACTACTGACACTTACAAAAAAAAAAAAAAAGGAATTGAAAGACACCTAATCTCTTGTAAAAAACAAAACAAAACTACATATACACCAAGTAAAGACATTGTTTCTTTCTCCTGTAAGAGTAGGTTATTGTTTCTGAAGGTAGCTATATGAAGGGGCTTCAAAAAGTTCCTGGAAAAATTCCATTGCCTTTTAATTCCATTTTTCCCACAAACTGTTTGAAGCCTCCCACTTTACCTGGCATGTGACCCTGACACAATTTTGCAGAAATGGAAAATTAAAACCCTCACGTAAAGAAACAGAATAAACTACTTAAACAAAGCTGTTATTTTTTAGAAGCTGCCAGATTGTTTAATAGCCTTGATTCATAAAAATAAAAGCTCCAGATCAGCTCTTTGTAGCCTGACAGCAACATCTGCACAAGCAGAAGGTTGCTATTTGCAAATAAACATTCCAGCTCGTACGATTGCTCAAAAACTAGAAAATCACACAGATTTTACATTTGCACTCTTAAGTCACATAACCCTTAAAGTAATTTAAATATACATATGTAAGTAAACTCATATGCAGAGATGACTGTGGACTTTTTTGTTTTTAACAGCTGTATGTATTTGCATATCTCTTGCCTGTTGTGGAGCTGAGTTGGAGGAGGGAGGGGTGGCTGGTGATGGGGGGAGACGTGTGTCTTACTTGGTCCACGGGGAGATTCCTGTGCTTTTAAAGTGGGTATTCTGACCCATAGCAACCCTATAGGATAGGATAGAACTGCCCTGGAAGGTTTCCAAGACTGTAAATCTTAAGGGAGTAGAAAACCTCTGGCTGGTGGTTTTGAACTGCAGACCTGGGGGTTAGTATCCCAACACCTGACCACTACTAGGGCTCAGCATCCACTTGGTGGCAGTGAGTGTGGTTTATAGTGAAACCCTGAGGATACCTTCCATGGCATAATTGAATTTTCTTGAAATCCTAGAATCAATTGGGGGCAGGGGGGCTTTTTCAAAAACCAAGGAAGCCCCATAGGGAGTCTTGGTGACATAGTGGCTACATGTTGGACTACCAACGGCAAGGTCAACAGTTATAAACCATAAGCTATTCCCGAAGAAAATGACTGAACCTGCAGAGGCAGTTCTACTGTGTGTGTTAGGGGCACCCTAAGGTGGAATGACTATGGCAGTGAGAGGGTTACCGAGACCCGCACTCTGTGTTGGTAGCAGTCGGGGCTCCTGAATCTGTAGGTGACAAAAAAAAAAAAAAAAATCTCCAGGTGCTTCAGATTTACTTACTGCTTTCTTGTGAGTAGTGACCTTTGTCCATTACCAGCATCTCCATTCAACTAATGTTCTTTGATTGACTACTGTGTGAGCCAGGTGCTGGTGAAGCTTACATACATGATGTTTGCCCACTTGCTAGGCTGTACATGTGAAGGGACTCTGATGAATCGTGGACTCAGTAAGCCCACCAGTAAGGCCTGTAGTTGTGGACACAGGAGAGATCCCTGGGCCAGGCTTGCCAGGGACGCTTCAGGGAGGTGAGAGCGTTGCACAGTGAGGTCATCTGGGATGGTCTTGATTAAGATGGTAGGAGGCCAGTTTTGAGGAAACCAGTCAGACTGAGAGGTTTATACAGGGATGCCAGGCTGTAGCACACACGCAGTTAATCCTTGAATGTTACTTACAGAGTGGGTACGAATTACACTGTGCACGGTAGACATGATAATACATTTCATTCTGTGTAGCACTTGCTTTGAAAGATTGCACAGTGGCAAGAATATTAAGCAATTCATTAAAATTTTCAAACCATTACAGTGGCACAAAATACTTTATTGTTATAGAACTTAGACGAATTAATCTCCTTCCCTAAGCACTTGCTTTGGCCAGGAATACCTTTTTCATTAGCAAGAATGTTTCTAAAAGAAGAATCATCTGAGAAATGTGATAGAGCAGGGCCAAAGACTAGAATTGACTTAATCCCCCCTCCCCTCGTATCTGACCGTGCTTTGATTTTGCCGTACGGTTTTCCGTGGCTGATTCCTCAGC